TCTTTATTTAATTTTTTTTTTTTATATAATTCGATTGTTGCCATCCCCTGCACGGCAATAAATAAATAATTTATTATTTTATTTGTGGATTTACCATTTTGTATGTACCTATCATTATTATTATTATTTTATTGTTTTCGGTACGCCGCGGCAAATTTAGCACTTTGGCGTGTACCGTGTAAAATAAATTACGAATAATTACTGTGTATTATGTCTTATGTAAGAAAAATAAGGTAGTCTCGTAGGTACAACAGGAAAGTACCATTTTGATTCTCTTAGATAACAGGATTACAGGAATGTGATGTATCACAACATATATAAGATAGTCGCGATAACGGAGTTATTCTTGGATGGTAGTCGCGACAGTGGCGTTCTCAGGAATTTTCTATGGGGGGGGGGGGGTTCTGAAAAATTAATTGAATTCGATAGTGGGGGCTCTGCCCTCCAAACCTCCCATAGTCATAATATTTATAAATGTTGTGTTAATATGTATTTATGTATTTTACCATTTTAGTAGACAGTACCTACCTAGTGAGCTGTACCTATTTGGTATATCATATGAATATCAAAAGTAATACAACCAAAAACTAAGCTTTTCGACAATCATACTTTAATAATCATTATAAAACCATAATAACTTACCAAACATTTCCAAACACAACACTTTCAAGTTTCAGTTTCAGTCCATACGATCTCTATCAATTCTCTTTACAGTTTTACACTATTAACTAGGTAGGTAGGTACTTCTGTATCTGGTCAATTTATAGGATATTGTGCAATGTGCATTGCCAACAAGAATAAATCTTTTTATTTTTAAAAATAATTTTTTATTAACCTGTACATTTTTGATTTGTATACTAATTGTTATACTTATAAGTTATAAATTTATAATATAAAGTATAAACTTATCTGCATGTACATGGACTCGTGGCTTGTTTTCGAGGCCCGCGACGTTTCTTTAAAATATTTGTTTATATTTAAATGACTCCATTTTGAATGAGATGTGTCACTATTAGCTAAGTTAATAGTTAATAGTAATCCATATTTTTATTTTAAAAAAACTGTTCAAAATAATATTAATAATACATTTTATCGTGTATAAAAAATGATAATATAAACAACCAGTTAACCCTTTCACTACCACTGTCCATCTCAAAGGACATGCATTTATATTCATTACTGAACATCAACATTTGATTACAATGACGTTATTTTACATTTTAATTGTTCGCTAAATTGTATAGATTAAGATAACCGTCTATAATTTATCTATAAATTATAAGGTTTTTGTAAATTAATAATTAACAATTGAAAATTTGAAACAGATGGTTATGCGTAAAAGTACGCAACATTTTTCTACTTTTTCTTTATTCATATTATTGTTGGCTACACTGGGTATTTTTTTCTTACATATTAGTTAGTTACAGAAGCAGTTGCTACAGTAAATATTTTGATATTATATTTTTTTCACCTGATAACACACGTTTGATGTTATGCCCATTTGAATGGACACTGGGAGTTCATGCCTTATAATATTATGATAACAATATAATAATATTATCACTGATATGAACTTTTCCGTTGAAAAATAATTTATAATTTTAAGTAAAGTTAAACATTTTAACGATGGCTTTAAACGAAGACCAAATTATATGTATAAATAGGTATATATCCTATGTTACGTTTTTTTTTATTTTAATTTTAATTTTAATATCATAATAAAAATAAATTGTGATATCTTTAACGGAGTAACTATTACATTTGTAATTCGTTTGTTATTATCAGAGACTGAAACATGAAACAAAGTTACTAATGAAAAATAGTTTAAGTATTTAGGAATATATACCAAATTAGGTATATCCTGTTATAAATATAAATGTAAAACGTATTTTATTACATATAATTATATTGTATTTGATGTTACGTTTTTGTTTTTGTTTTCATAATATTGTATCTATACACAAATAATTTTTTTTTCATTTGAAAATACACATAAAGAATATCTACATTAATTATAATTTTTAACCGTAACTCCCAATGTCCATTACAATGGACGATCCTGTAAATCCTTCAATAATCCTTCAAATGTTATCAAACTTGGGGAGATTGTTAATTTATGACCATAAATAAAAATAAAGTAAAAAAAAAAAATATGGGTCGAGTACAATTAAATGGGTAATGAAAGGGTTAAAATTTCAAGTATAGGTATCTACGATACGTTTTAGAGTTATTTACACCAAAAACCAAAATCTTACCTATATTGTAATGCTCATATGAAAGTGAAAAAAAATACAGTCGATGGGTGTTGGGGTCAAACCCCATGACGACCCCCCTCCCCCCGCGGTGAGTACGCCACTGGTTTTATAACATATATATTGTTATCCTTATCAGTGATAAATAATAGGTAATATTGTTTTTGGCTGGGGGAATCAATAATCACGAAAAATAATAACTACTAGTCAATATTATGTAAAACACAAACGCATATCAAAAGTAGACAAAACGTGTATTACTAATATGTAAGAAAATAAAGAACCTTGGTGGGATCTACCCCCCCCCCCCGTAGGGCAGGTGAGAGGGTGGGGCAGTAGGGGCCAGAGCCCCGGGGGGGCCCGATGTCAGAGGCGTATTTTGGCTTAGCCGCACAGGCCCTGTAGACCCGGGCCATTATCGTCCGTTTGCTAAAAATTAAACAACCATCTATAATATATACCTACTAATCTATATTGTACACAATACGCAACACAGAACACACATAATAGATAACAAAACAAACTCGCATTCAACGCGGGTTCGATCGGTATAATCGCGTAGTTGGTTTTTATATAGTGTGTGCTATTGCCTATTAATAATATGGTACCTATTAATATATTATATAAATATATAAATTCAGTGCCGGATAAACCGCCGGTGCAAGCGGTGCATTGCACTGGGGCCTCGACTCTTTGAAATATTTGGGGTCCCCGATATTATGGATATCGAGTACTATAAAATCAAATTGGTAATTGGTAAAATGTATATTTTGCTTTTTCAAATGGTGTATTTAATTAATTTTACTTTGAAAGTATATTTAATTTATTCCCATCAGTGGTGAATTATAATTGTGAATATTTGATTGACTTATTTGTATATTTTATTTTTCATACACATTATCGTGTTCACCGATACACAATAACGTAAACATCTACGCAGTGTTGCATTACGCGAAGTGAGACTGAATCCAAAAATAGATGTATTGAACATTTTCTAATATATAGTATATTTTATAACATTTTTAAATTAGGGCCACCAACATTTTTTTTTTTTAATTTGGGCCCCAAGAGTTCAAGATCCGTCACTGTATATAATATAGTCGTAAATTCCTAAATACGACCAATAACGACCGACTGTATCAGATAATAATAATATGTTCGATCATATTTCCACGTAGGTATTAGTTGTAATGATGCGTTTACGTAAAATACATCGCGTTCCGAAATTATCGTTTTTGCTTTCTTTTATAATTTTGATACTACGGAATACGAATCGTGTGTAATTTGATGTTTTGCTAGTACATATTTGAGTCCCTAGTTATATAATTTTATTATAATGAGTTATAAACACAAATCTGGTGCTCAAAAGAGAAAAGAAAAGGATTACAGAGACAATGAAGCAAAAAAAGGACAGCTATATCACTCGGGCAATATATTAAACCTTACACAGCTTCGACTGAGTTACCTATACGGTCTATTGGCCAGAAAGCGAACACTTTAACTGAACCTAATTATTCGTTAATTACTGTTGAATAGTTGTTAACATTATTTTCTTCAATTTTAATAAAAGATTTTATATACCAAATATTATGTTTATTTTATTTACAATTCATCCAAATTAAATATTAAGTATCGCTACTGTATTGAAATGCTATACAGCTATATAAATCTCAGTAAAATAAGTGTATATAAGTGACGGGGCCCGGAAATAATCAGCCCTGGGGCCCACCAAAGCTCTCGCCGGCCCTGCCCCCCCGTGAGTCGCGATAATAGCCGTGGCCTCGTAAGTCGTAGGTACCTATAACAGGAAAGTACCGAAGTTTACATTATTTTCTTCCCGAAATTCACGAAAAAAACTATCCGCTTTCAACAGCCTTTGATCGTAAAATTATTCTGCTTATTAGTAGGCGGTGTGCCACGACAGTGCAACCATAATATAACAACGCGTCAACACGTCTTTATTTGTTTGCGTATTGTAATTTTACACGGCAATTATTGCATTATAATTGTCGTAGATCGGTGTCGTATAGTATTCAATTCCGTAGCAATAATAAAGAACAATCATTTGACCAACGGTCTTATATCATTTCTTTGGGTATTTTGTTTGAAAATTTCAAAACGAAAAACACGTCCCGCTCGTAATATTGTTTAGATGGCCGCCACAGTCGATCACCACCACAGACTTCTATACTACACTAGATAAGGAACTCCTATACAATTTGCATTGTTACGAGTGAAGCTCAGCTGTGGAAGGCTGCCATTATTTTGTCGGTTGGCAAAACATTTCATTTATTGCACAAAATGGATTAGGAATAATATGTAAAATGACTTATATAAAATATTTTTTTTTTTAACCAACACGATAAGAAATAATAAAATACGATACAAAATAAATCATAATAATATCATCTTATTTGACATAATATGAAATACCATACAATTGCCAACCGACCTTGAAGCGTCAATTCATGGCGGGAGTTCGCTTTCTATATAGAAATCTGTGATCACCACGTACTGCGATACAATAGGCCGCGGAAACGACGCCGCTGTGGGCGCAGGTCGGTGGGGTTCATCGAGTGTTTACCGCCAAGAGAACGCGTCAAAACGGCGGTTATCGGACAAGACGTGTCGTCGTCAAGCCAAGATCCGTTCGGTGCACTTGGCAACGTTGCAGGAATCCGACGCCGAGCGCCGACCAAATACCGTCGGTTGCCCGCTCAAACGACAACCACTCGAAAAACCGCGCCGTCACACCGCGCGCCCCCGCCGCCGCCGTGAGCGTGGTAATCCATGGTCAGTGTCCCAATCGAATAACCGACGCGACCTCGCCGCCGCCGCCTCGCCGTCTCGTTCGAGTTCCCGGTCTTTTCTGGCGTCATTCTTCGGCTCCGCTTGTTCGGTTTCAGTCGTTCGCGCAGTCGTATCGTCGTGCACCCGCACTGCGACCCTGCTCGCGTTTGTCGTCTGCACTCTGTTGCGCCTTCTGCCGCCATTGTTGATATCGTCCCAAGTGCTGCCTGCCGACCGTCCGTCGTCGACGACCCGTGCCGCCGTCTTAGCGTAGCAAGAGTACGTACCTAGTCGGAAATCGCAATCAGCCGCTGCGAGTCGAGCAGCCGCTTTCGCAGATCGCATTCTTCGTCGTCGTCGTCGGAGCGGAAGCGCTTGCGAACAGGTGGATACCAAAGATACCACAGGTGGACGAATATCCATCGCATCCATGGCGCCGGTTACTAGGAGACGTGAGTATCCACCCACCCACCCGTTTGCCCGGGTTGTTATTTTCAGTACTTACTCTCGAATTTCGGACGTTCAAGTCTTCGGCCTCTGTTCGATTCATTTATTTTTTCCGAGGCGGTCGTCAGTCGCTAAGTATAATATAAAGTAGCCACGTAGGTAGGTACAACTATTGTTTTGTCGTGGAAAAACATAATATTTAGCTTATTATTGTTATCACAACAACTAGGTAGGTATAATATTTGTCGTGTAGAAAACAGTTGTAGGTAATACTATATTGTTGTAGTTACCTTGTAGTTACCTTTACAAAAGAGAATATACCGATACCGATTTATGTCCGGCGGCGCTCATTCCCCACCAATTTTCTATTGCTAGCGTGTTCACGTGGTCTTCGACGCACCAATCGAATCACTTGAAAGCGGTATATTCTCTTTTGAAAAGGAGTGTAGAATATAGTGGCAGGGGCGGTGGACCGGGAGGGATGTATACGGACCAGGTTTCGGCAAGAGTAAACGTCTCAAACCCATTTCGTTCGGTTCTTTTTGCCGGTAGGTAGGCAGGCACTGGTTTCTTACACCGCTGTCCGGGAGTGTAAACAATTTCAAGTGTATAATGTAAGTGACGAGTCTTTGATATTGATGCGCTCATGAGTGAGGAAAACCGTCGCATATATTGTTGTTGGTCGCCGATTGCTATTAGATGCCTTTGCGTGTATGTTCATGAATTAAATTAAATACTGTTATTTTATACTTTTCAAATAAATTACACACATGCATTTTTACTCCTTTTAATAATAAATATTACTATTTGTAAAAATAGTTGCATAGGTATTTGAAAAATATTGAACAAGCCAACGACTAACACCTTATTTGTAGCTCTGATGAATATTTCTCATGTTTGGCTAAGATCGAGCGGATAATCTCCATCTGAAGAAAATTCTAAAACATAAACTTCTTCTTGAGCTGCCAAAGCTTTCATAACTTCACATCGCTTCATAACATATTCATGACTAAAATGACTATCTGTTCCATAAATTTTATTTTATTTTAATTTTAAACGCCCAAGGGCATAGAGTACCTACATAATAAGTAGAAAATTAATTAAGTAACAATCATAAATAGGTAGGTACAGAAATGTAGATCAATATAAAGTAAATACAAATACATAATATTAACAGTTGAAGACTATAGGTAATTTATTACATCACATAGCTATAGAGAGCACAAAAATGATTATAATTACGAGGATACATTCAAACAATATGTGAATTAATAGTAGTAAGTATTGTAGGATAAAGTTATTGGTTATTCAATACTAATGTTTTAAGACA